GTAATATTCGTCATTAATGGTATGAACATCAAAATTTTGGTCTCTATAATAAGTCCCCTTGCTAGAATTTTTCATTTGCTCTTCTTCTCTTATTAATCGTGCATACCTAATCACATTTGCGCTCAATTGGAAAATATCAGGAAATTCCCTGTCTTGAAATTTCTTTTTCAAATCAAAGTTTAGACAACTTTGAGCAATTTTGACAAACTCCTTTTCGGGCAAAAGTACAAAACATTTACTTCTTGCTGTATTGAACCTTTGAAGGAAACTTTCTGCCCATTCGTTTGGCATTTGACGTAGATTCGCCAAATCGGTCAAAGTAACTTTAGACTCAATCTTATAAAACTGAGCATGGAACAATTGCTCCAATTGTTGCCATGTTTGAACAGAGTTTGCTGGCAAATTGATGAACCAAGAGAAAGCTACTCCTGTTAATGAACTAGGGAACAACCTCATTTTATGGTAGTCGGTTACTTCACCACTTTGCAGTGTGAATCGCCCTATGTGTTGTAGAGTAGACACCTCTCCTAACCCGGTAAATAATGAGAATTCTGGCACTTTATACTCTCTAGGCCATGGATATGCTTGGTCTACCCAATCAGGGTGTGGCTTAGTGTAAGTCGGCCTAATGATAGGACGTACCCCAAAAGCCATTTGATTCTGTACTATTTTCATAATTTGATTTCTCAACATGACGTTGAGGTCATATGGAATTCCTACAGGTTGGTTGATCGGTTGATTTGCCTGAGGCCTAATGTTTGGTCCTTGGTTGGTAACAAAGTTGTCATGATTTGGGCCATTGTTACCATTAGCCTAACTATTTATTTCATCATTGACACGCGGGGTATTCTGTCCATTATTTAGGACATTATCTCTTATATTTAGGTTACCACCCAAGTTAGATGTACCATTACCACTATTTACCACTATTCTGATTTGACATTACACCATCCCCCTAGTTTGAAGTAGGTGGACCAAAAGGTGGCTCTATCCCCTGATTTGGACTTAGGACTGGGGAATTATGTTCCACGATTGTCCTAGTTTGAAAGTGATTTGCAATAGACACAACTGGCTGACAAATTTAGCCTACTAACTTATTCATTATTTCATTTAATGTATTCAATTGTTTGGCCATGTTGTCATAATGTACATTCCCATTCTGGGTAAATCTTTCCATATTATGAACATTTCGTAGATTTACCTGTTCAACGACATCCTGTGTGAGTTCTCCAAGCAACGTACACATGGTTCGAGGACTCAACTCTGTCATTGGTTCGTAACGACTGTGACTGCTCTGACTCTGTCCTTCTCTTCGTGGAGAGCTTTGCCGCTCCTCATATCGCTCGATCACAGACTGGACTCCTCCCTGACTTGCTGCTTCCTTATCAAATTTGTGAGGCATATTGTTTCACCTTTTGTACCTTCAACACCAAACACCAAGGTCCCACTGGGCGTGCGAAATTGTTTCAAGCGGGTAGTTGCTAACAATTATAAAGGAATCAGACGATTGTGTAAGGAACAGACCTCTTGAGACGAAGTCCCAAAAAGTGGTGTTTTATTGGCGATAATTTACAATTGAAACTAAACAGAATGTCTCCAAGGGGTGCAAGCACACGAGTACTAAAAGAAATGTATAAGTTTAAACTAAGAAATTGAAATTACATATTCTCTATTTGAGAATATTTGATTCGGGGTCCTTTTCTCTATGTCTTCTCTTCCTTTTATATTCCCTTGATTATTTTTTCGTGACAAATCGCTTGGAAACTGCTTAATTGCTGTATAACTACCCACTTTCTTTATGATGGCTAACTTGTCGTGGAACTGTCGTCCCTAACTATTGCCATTACTATTTGTCATTCAACTGCTTTCAACTGGGCTCCTTGAATCGTGGAATGTGATAAGATCACTCAATAACTGCTATTCTGGATAACCATAATGTTTCATGCTTGCTAAGATCCTGGGCGATTCGAAGGTTTGGGCGAGAACGGGGTCATTGCTCTGGGCGATCGTAAGGTATTCTATTTGTTCAGATTCTGGGCGTCATGTAAGCTTGAGCGATGATGTTACCGTGTTCGTGGGCTTCCACCGCATTCATCAATAATCCTATTTGGACCTTTATCTTGGATTCCTCAATTGGGCTTTGCTCTTTGAGCTATTTGATTTGGGCTGCACTTTTAGTGTATCAACATAAACAATCCAGAGGAAGAAGATCTTTTTACAACCACCCGTTCCACGACTTGGCTAATCGGCTGACTCAAACACGGCTTGGTTTTTATGGCCATTCGGCTTATGAACAGTAACTCAAACCCCTCTTTTATATTTAGGGCTTGTATGAGCCACATTATTTTCAAAAAAATACATTTTTAATAGTGATTTGACATCATTTCAATCACAATTCTTCAATAAAATAATATTACACGCAAATCTAAAATTTTTCCTTATTTTTTAACAACATATTTCCCATTAATTTGACATGAATAATACATTTTTTCTAAAATGTGGCTCAAACATTGGCTTAGTTAGATTAGATTAGATTAAATTAAAAGAGATTAGATAGATTAGATAGATAAAAGATAGAATATGTATTTAAATATTTTAAATGAGATATATTTTTTGACCTTTCAAAAAGTTACGGAATTTCATTTGACTTTTTAGTTTTACTAGCTTCTTTTTACTTTCGTTTACTTAAGTGAAGGATAAATCCATCATTTAATAGTAAAAATAGAGGGAAGGGCGGGTTATGCTAAGTGGTTGAAAATTTGAGAATAGATTATATGAAAAAATATTGATGAGAGATTTGTTAATTTTTACGAAGTTAGAGGATGAAAAATGCAAATTTCTCTAAAATACAATGGTAAGTGAAAATTTATGGAAAATCGCAGCAAAAGTCCTTATCCTTTAATAGTTATAGCAATGTAGAGTTGAGCCATTGCGCTATCAACGCTTCTCTCATGATAGTCTTGTTTCATGAGACGTGCACAATAAAGTCACACTAAATATCTTCTCAGCATAGTTGAAGTCCCTCGGGGTATAACCCAGTGCTGCAAAAGATATAAGTGAGGTAGTCTCAACCTTGTTGGCAGTTGCAGTGTGAGGGTTGGATTCCTGAAATATGGAATTAGACTCTTTGTGGGTACCAATGTACGGGGCAAACTCTTGTCCCCTAACCTATTGGGGCACATTCTACAATTTACCTCCCTCACGATATTCTAGGGATGGGGCGAAGCGGTGGGGCCCTCGAGATTGGAGTTCAACCTTTAAGTTTAAGGTGGTTGAAAGGTCTATGGTGACAATCAAAATCAAGTGGTGAGGGAATTACTTGTATTTTGAGATAACAAGAAATCGAAAGCGACACCAATAGGGGAGTTTGGGGTGGGCTCGAGCTAGTGGTGGCAAGGGCAAGGGGGTGGATGGTAGGAGTTGGAAAAAATTAGGTTGTCATTTCCTGAAGTTATCTTTATTTTAGGATAATTAGCAAAAAAATCCCTATCGTTTGTACTCATTGCGAAAATGGTCCATATCGTTTTGAACCTGCTATTTACACCCTTATTTCAAACCTTTCTTGCATAATTGGTCCTTTTCGTCATATTTCGTTAAATCATTCCATTAAATATGTGTAATTTGATGTAAATGATCCATATTGTTTGTTGTAATTGTGCAAATAATTCCTATTATTTCAATTTTGACATTTGGATATTCAGATCAGCATTTATTTGCTTAAAAAGTCCTTGCGTCCATTTTTTTCATTATAACATTATGAAATGATTAATTTATCATCATCTTTGAATAAACAAATAGAAAAAGAAAATAATATAAAAAAATTGTATCTAGAGTTTCTTATTTATTTTAAAAATTACAAACATATCTCACATGAAAAAATTTAAAATATTCTAATAAAAAAGATATTTTATATTCCCAAATAACCCACCTACCACTACCCATACGCCTATCATCCACCACCACCACCAAAATAATTAAAAAGAGAATTAAAAGTATAAAAAAATATTTGATGAGAAATAAACATCATTTTGTTTTTATAGTTTTTTTTATTTTTAATTCTTTTTTTACTTTTATTATAGTGTTAATTATCTCTTTAATTAATTTTGTAGTGGTGGTAGAGTGTAGGGGATGGGCGTAGGGTATGTGGGTTAATTGGGAAGATGAAATGCTTTTGTTTATTAGAATATTTTAAATTATTTTCCTGTGACTTGTTTGTACTTTTTAAAAAAATTAGAAACTTTAGCTACAATTTGTTTATATTATTTCTATTTTCTATTTGATTATTTAACGATGATGATAAATTAGTCATTTCATAATGTTATAATGAAAGAAATGGGCATAAGAATCTTTTAAGCAAAGAAATGTCGAAATTGAAATGATAGTGACTATTTGCGCAATTACAGCAAACAATAAAGAACTTTTTCATCAAATTACGCATATTTAACTGAAGAATTTAGCGGAATATGACGGAAATGACAAATTCTGCAAGAAAGTTTTGAAATGAAGGTGTAAATAGCAAGTTCAAAATGATAGGGACCATTTTCGTAATGAGTACAAACGATAGGGATTTTTTTGCTAATTAAATCTTTATTTTATTATATTGTAAAAGCTAACAATCGTCTTATAAATAAAAATTTGACTTTTTAGAAGGAGTTTGACACTATTTTTATGAAAAAATGAATTTTAGTATAATAGATTGATGAAGAATGTGTGAATGAAAAATAAGAAATTTTTTTTATTTGTTTGTAATATTATTTTAATAAAAAATATGTGATTAAAATAAAGATAAAAAAAATATATTTTTACAAAAATGAGAATCAAATGGATGTTAATAATAAATTATATAATTATCATTCATAAATACTAATGTTGCAAAACTAAAAGGCATGCTGAAAATGGCATTTACATTTTAAACCCAAATCTTCTCCCTCATAATTGCCACTACAAATACAGACAGCCTGCAGGCTACCCCTTCTGGCTTTTACTCTTTCAATTTTTAATTATTTTCAAATAGCTTTTTTTTCTCTCATCTGTCTTGTCTTACTGTTGTCTTTTCTCAAGTGGAAAAGCTTTAACACACTCTCTTCATATACCCAACATATACCCAACAAAAGAAAAAATTCTTTACTTTTGCTTTTTCATGGAGTTCAATCTGAAGAAATGGAGAGAGAGGCAGCAGGAATCAGAAGAAGAAGAACCACATTCTGCAAAGTTACCAAGACTTCTCCTTGACCCTCATCCACTACACCAGCAACATTCTGGTTCATCTGCAGTACTCCCATTGTTTGTACCAGCTGAACCCACTACAAATTTGTCAGCATACCATTCTGATGCTACCAACAAATTTCCCAGTATATCTCTCTCTTTCTCTGTGCTGTGACACCGTCTTAGAAAGAATTTTTGTTTAGATTCCAAATTTTACTTTTGAACTTTTGTTAGGGATGGAGAGTACCTTCAGCTTGGCCCAGTGGCAGGAAGTTGAACTGCAGGCATTAATCTTCAGACATATGTTGGCTGGTGCTGTTGTTCCTCCTCAACTTCTCCATCTACTCAAAAAAAGTCTAATAACTTCTCCTTCTCCATATTTATTCTCCCAACAGTCCTGTCCCCATTACCAGACAACTTGTAAGTGGGCATTCTTAAAGATTTTTCTGTAGAAAGTTGATTTTCATTTGCTATATATCTTTGTTTAAATATATGTACATATGGATGTGGTGGATCAGTGCTCCGAACGGGGTACTGGGGAAGAGGAACCATGGATCCGGAGCCAGGCAGATGCCGGAGAACTGATGGCAAGAAATGGAGGTGCTCAAGGGAAGTGGTGACTGGGCAAAGGTACTGCGAACGCCACATCCACCGCGGGCGAAACCGTTCAAGAAAGCCTGTGGAAAATTCCACATCTGAAGTTCTCAAGACTACAAGTTTTACTCTTTCAAGGCCTTCACCATCCATGGATCTTCTTCACCTCAATCAAAGGTACGTATGAACTCTAAATATCTTCAACTTCAATTTGTTGGTGATTATATTTTGTAGTTAGCATATCTGCATAGAGCCAAGACTCAGGTTTATATGTGAATATAGCCCTGCATAGGTTCTCTGTGGTTCCATCTCATCTTTTTCGTTAATCTAAATGCTGTTTTTCTCATTCGTTGGTGTTTATGTTTTGGAGTTCTAGTTATATTTGAACCGATCTAGCAATGAAATGAAACAAATGCGAACATTTAAGTCCCGTTTGATAAAGATTTTTTGAGTATAGTTCTTGTTAGAAGTTCTTTTTTTTTTTTTTTCAGGATGGAGAATCTATGAATAAAAAGTAAGGAAAAGTTACGAATTCATATACAAAATTATTTCATAGCAAGGAGAATGCACGGCTGAAAATGAGTTTGGAGAAACGGAAAATTTAGAAACTAGGAGCCAAACAGGATATTAATGTCGGGCAACTTGTGACGTATAGCTAATAGCTATTGGATGGGATCCTTGTTCCCCTAAAGGAAGAAACCAAAAAAAGAAAAGAAAAAAAGAATTTCATTTTCTCAAACAGCTTTAGCCATGTGGTCCTCAAAATGAATTCACTTTGCATGTGGATCATTAGTGTCTTCCTAGTAGGACTCCATTATGATATTTTTGAGTCTTGCTAAAGCATAGAGCTTTAGATTGTGCACAAACTCGCCCCATCCACTTGTAATATGTTTCATGTCAATAGTTCCCATTTAATGGTCTTCCAGCTCTTTCTTGGACTTTTTATTTCCCTATCTAACTTTGGCAATTGTGGCCCCACGGTATTTGCAGGCCTTCAGAATCCATAATTGTCACAAAGGGTCCATCCGAAGCCAACAGTGATTGTAAATCAGACGGCCAAACCCTTAGGCATTTCTTCAATGAATGGTCTAGACAAGAAACTGGCAATGCCGCTAGTCCTGTGGCTACGGCCACCAACTTGTCCATTTCGATTGCGGAAAACCCTTCATCCGACTTCTCGTTGAAGCTCGCCACCGGGGATACCAATGACTCTGGACCTCAGGTTGTACACACCGAAAGGGATAGGCATCAGCTGAATTGGGGCGCAACGTGGAGGACTAATCCGGTGGCTGCAATGGGAGGGCCGCTTGCAGAGGCATTGAGATCGTCTACTTTCCCCGACCCCAACTAGCGTTCTACGCAGCTACATCCATGCTCAATATCAGATGTTAGCTATATTAGCAACTGAAATGAATTTCCTTTACACAAGAATTTGTAACTTTTTCACTTGTCTTTTCCCTTTTTCCATGATTCTATTTCAGTGTTTGTTGAGTAGTTATACATAACTGAGTTTTATAGTGTATTGATGTGATGTTTCTAATGGTTTAAGTGAAAGATAATTGCCTATTCATGGTGTAACAGTGTAACAGGAGCTCCTTTAAGAGGCAAGGTTCTGCTTCCAAACTGATGCTCAGCCAAAAATAATCTGAGCATTCGACTAAATTGTAATGACATGTTTGATATGTCTAATTACAATAAAAATAAGAAAATACGTTTTATAACTATCACTCGCCATTGACCTAATATGATGACCAAAAGTTCAAGTGGATAAAACTAAAGCTCGTATCAACGGCAGTAGAGTAAGCCTCTATTTGGTTTAGTTAAAAATCAGATTTTCAGTAAATTATAATAAAAGTTGATGAAATGTGAAATTAAAAGGTTGATAAAAATTGTGAATCTCAAGAAAAGTTTGTTGAAAATGAAATTGAAAAAAAAAAAAAAAAGGATTATTAAAAAATGAGAGTTAGACATTAGATACGGTACCCGAGGACGCTTATAGAAGCTTGAGTTAGCTATTAGCGAAATGGCAACTTTTAACTGGTCGTAGAAGATTGTAACAATATATCAAAATGTGGATTTTTTATGAAAAAAATAATTATAGATTATGAATTATTTAAAAATAATTTCCATTTATAAAAGGGGAAAATTGCAACATCGGTCCCTAACCTTTTTATTTTTTGCAGACTTTACCCTTACCTTCATTTTGTGTCAGTGAAGGTCCCTAATCTTGAAAATTAAGGAATCAACATCCAATAAAATTATCCGAAACACTGTCCAAAAAAATATCAACATCTAATAAAACTGTTGAAATAACAGATAGTTCAAAGAATTTTCCAATCAACTGACGGTGTTTTGGACGATTTTATTTAGATGGACCTTAGATGCATATTTATGAAATGTTAGGAACATTCACTGGCACAAAATAAAGGCTAGGATAAAGTCTGCAAAAAAATAAAAAGGTTGGGGGACCGCTGTTGCAATTTTCCCCTATAAAAATTATTGGTCTACATGGACCGTCCAAATGTCGACTATCAAATGTAGGGCGTGTCTACTTATCTAATCCATTTTAAATAAAGTTGTTTGTATGACAATTGTTGACAATTTTGGTGTTGTCAAAATTTTAGCCGTTGATTTAAAAAATAGTTTTTAGCAATTTTTATAACGAATGATTGTGATGCTGTCAAGTGTAAAGTTGTCAACAAAAATTGTACAAGTAACATGATTCATCCATTTTACACCCCTAACTTGCATTAGAGTGTTTGACACTTGAGTAGGATACCGTTTATCTCTAATTCGACACACACTAGTGAAGCAAGTACTGTACCAATTTTACATAGGAGCTTCAACCTTGTGTTGATTTACATTGTTCGATCCGTATCAAAATTATAATTTATTTTTCTCGTTACTTTTATCAATTACACATTTTCTAATAAAATAATATTACATGTAATTCCAAAACTTTTAACCACAAATTTTACAAAAAAATACTATTCCACTCATTAAAATTTCAAATAATGGTGATTAATGGAGCTAGTCTCGATTTGATTCTCATTTCTTAAAATTCATATATTCTAAATTCATTTTTTTATATATTTTTGTGAAGTTTACAAATTTTAACAACTTTCCTCAAAATTTATTGAAAATCTAATTTTCATCAAAATGAAACTAGGGCTTACAAAGGCACCGACGCGAGCAAAATAAAGGACGTTACCTGGATTCTTCCTTTTTCGGGCCCTTTTTTGTTTGTGGTCCATTGATCCACGGGCCACGCTTTGGCTTCGGCTTCAAGCCTGCGCAGCTTGTTTCAAATCACACGGCAATTTCATTTACAATTACTAAAGCCACTCGACAAAAGATATGGGGTCGCGGAGTTGAGTCTGAACAATTTCCTAGTCAACTTTCCGGTGATTTTCCGACCAGGTAATAGTAATTCATAATCATATTTTAACATATCTCTCATTCTTTTACTTATTAATATAAGTTTCAATTTTGTTGTTCGACTTATATTTCTTAAGTCATATGTCATATAAGCTTCTGTTTGTTGCCCATTATTTATGTTACTGCTGGTACATGCGAAGAAAGATCAGACGAACTGTATTTGCTTTCTCAGGATAATTCAAATCAAAGCAATTGGATAATGCTGTTTTTATTACGTATTGCTAAAATTTGTTGTGGAAAATAAATGCATATCCTAAACAAATGATTACAAGATCGGAAGTTGGGAAAAAACTGAGGTTTATTCTAAAATTAAATTTTCTGAGATGAATCACAGTATATAGGTTCCGTATTTGCAAAGTTTGTGTTTGATTTGTTTTTTATTCGTTAAAACTGTTTAGGTAATTCGGCCTGGGAGCTTTGCCTCGAAGAATGAGTACAACTCCTCGTTTGATTTTGTGAGACTAGAATGTAAGGATTTGGGCTGCTGAAATCTTTGAGCCCAATGGATATTATGTTGACCCGGTCCAATGATTATACCACACTTACTGAACATTCTAGAGGTGACAAAGTCGTGTTTTTGTGAAACGCGTTTTAACTTCAAAATGCGTCCTCTGCTGGATCTCTTACGCGTGGCATGATTGTGACCGTTGGATTGGTCTTTGTGGGACGCCTCATATAACTAGGGTTTCAGATATTTTTGTTTAACCCTAACTTTCATTTTTCTTCTTGACTGCCGTTCTTCTTCTTCGAACTCTCTAATCTTCTGTGGGTTTTATTTTGTGATTTCTATGTGAATTCCTTACAAAGAATTGTTGAGATTTATCTCTGTGTGAGATTGTATTATAGAATCTGAGGGCCTCTTGTGATTAGGAGAAACGGCAGTGTACTCTCATATGTTTGTAACTTAGTTTTTCCCAATATGGGTATCTTTATAGTGGATTCGAGCTTAATCCGTATGGATGCTCAACGGGGATGTAGGCGTTAGTTGGTCGCCGAACCTCGGGGCCTTTTGGCCGAAAATCCTTTGTGTTCTTTATGATTTTTCTGCACTTTTGATTTTGTATTTTACTGAAAATACTCGAATGTACAAAAGATTTGAACAACTGGGTCCAACAGTGGTATCAGAGCCACTGCTAAATTCGTTTTTCAAAATATTATTGTTCAAATCTTGCATTCTATAATACGATTGTGCTTAGATCTATCAAAAATTAATAGATCTGTTTTATGTTGTACAGGAAATCTTTTCGATCTGAATCTTGAGCAGATCTGTGGAAACAGATTGGTACTTTTTCGAAATAAACTGCAGATCTGATGAAATCTATACTTTGTCCAAATTTAAATATTTACTGAACATTGATTAGGGTTAAGTTAGGGATTTTCTTTGAACCCCCTTAATTTTCCTTTGTCTAGGGTTTCATGCGAGAACTCTAGAATCTGAGGGAATTAAGGAACGGTGAAGAAATCCATTAGGGCATAATTTTTTTTTATGTACTGCGATTTATGTTAATCTCTGCATATCTCAAATTTGGTGTATAGGAATTCACAATACTTGTCAACAATCTGCAGTTGACATTATTCATTTATTTTTGCGTATGCACTTACATGTTACATAATTAGGCAAGAAATTGTTTTATTTGTTACTGCAAGAATAAATTGTCAAGTAAGGAGTTTACTGAGTGTGAACTGTTTTATGCAATATATCTCTGTTGTGTTCTGCATAAACTGTGACACTTTCTTGGGAATTAAATCTTGCCCAACTCATCTAAAATACTATAGTGCTATACCTGTACAACATGTCCCACAATATGTCCACTAAAACTGATATTCAACATTGGGATGACAAATGAGATTTTACTCTCTGGAGCCAGAAAATGAAAGCCCTCTTAATGCAATTAAAATGTGTTAAAGCAATTGATGAATCTT